TAAATATTTTATTTATTTTATTTTTATTTTTTTGATTTGTTTTATTTTTGTTTATTTAATTTAATTAATTCATTTTTATCTCTTTTATTTCTTTTTTTAGTTTTATTTATTTATTTCTTTTATTTATTTCTTTTATTTATTTCTTTTTCAACTTTGAAAAATTCCAAAAACGCGCAATGCCGAAGGCTTGCAAACCCTAAGTGTGTTTCATAATTGAGGGTTTAGGGTTTAGGGTTTAGGGTTTTGTTGTCTGCAGACTCTGATGCTAAACTAAACCCTAAACCCTAAACCCTAAACGCTAATGTTTGTTGCCCTCAGTTTAGAAACTTATCATCTGCAAACCCTAATGCAAAACTAGACCTCCTGAAGTGTAAACCCTAAACCCTAAACCCCAAACCCTAATTGTTTGTTGTCTTCAGTTTAAGGACTTATTATGCCCTGTCCAAACCCTAATGCAAAACTAGACCTCCTAAACCCTAAACCCTAAACCCTAATTGTTTGTTACCTTCAGTTTAAGGACTTATTATCTCCAAACCCTAATGCAAAACTAAACCTCCTAAACCCCAAACCCTAGACCCTAAACTCTAACCCCTAACCCCTAAACCCTAAACCCTAAACCCTAAACCCTAATTGTTTGTTGCTTTCAGCTTAGAGACTTATTATCTCCAAACCCTAATGCAAAACTAAACCTCCTTAACCCTAAACCCTAAAGCCTAAACCCTAAACCTTAATTATTTGTTGCTTTCAGTTAAGAGACTTATTATCTCCAAACCCTAATGCAAAACTAAACCTCCTAAACCCCAAACCCTAGACCCTAAACCCTACCCCCTAAACCCTAAACCCTAAACCCTAAACCCTAAACCCTAAACCCTAATTGTTTGTTGCTTTCAGTTTAGAGACTTATTATCTCCAAACCCTAATGCAAAACTAAACCTCCTAAACCCCAAACCCTAGACCCTAAACCCTACCCCCTAAACCCTAAACCCTAGACCCTAAACCCTAAACCCTAAACCCTAATTGTTTGTTGTTTTCAGTTTAGAGACTTATTATCTCCAAACCCTAATGCAAAACTAAACCTCCGAGACAGCGCAGAATCTGGGGTGTATGCTGAGGGTTTGCAAGCTTTTGCTGTCAGATCGGCAGAAGAGTTGGAAAAGCTCCTGGTGAGGGTTTAGGGTTTAGGGTTTAGGGTTTAGGGTTGGGGATTCTTTGGAGGGCTTCGAAGCAGGGGATGATGCTTGGGGTCGGGTGTTGAGTTCAGCTTTTGGGGTTTAGGGTTTAGGGTTTGGGGTGTAGGGTTTGGGGTTTGGCGGTGTGGCTGAGGGTTTGGTTTTGAGGGTTTAGGTTTTGAAATTAGGGTTTAGGGTTTGGGGTTTAGGCTAAGAAAGGGAGGGCCACTGCCTAGGGTTTAGGCTGGGGAAGCTAGGGTTTAGGGTTTGGGGTCTAGGGCTAATACGAGGCTCAAAGGGTTTATTGAGGGTTTAGGGTTTAGAGTTAGGGTGCCAGTTGCTGCTGCTGTTGCTGCTGCTGCTGCTGCTGGTTCTGCTGCTGCTGGTTCTGCTGCTGCTAATGCTGCGTCTGCTGTTGCTGTTGCTCCTGCTGCTGCTGCTGTTGCTACTGTTGCTGTCGCTGCTGCTGTTGTTGCTGCTGCTGCTGCTGCTGCTGCTGCTGCTGCTGCTGCTGCTGCTTGAAGGCAACGGGGCTGCGCAACCGCAAGGTGGGCGCGACGCTGATGAACTCGGTGTCTAGTCGGTGAGGCCCTAAACCCTAAACCCTAAACCCTAAACCCTAAACCCTAAACCCTAAACCCTAAAGCCTGCACTCTAAACCCTAAATTTTAAACTCTAATATCCAAATCCCAAGCGTTGTCCCTATGCTGTGCTTTGATGCATTGCATCAGCATGCTACGCAGGGTTTAGGGTTCAAAGTTTAGGGTTTAGGGTTTAGGGTTTAGGGTTTAGAATCCAAAGTTCTGTTCGAATGACCAATGAATAAACCAGACAATACTTTGGCATTTGTTTGTTCTGGCAGTCAAGCGTTTAACGCTTAGCGTTTACTTGCTTATTTTTACGGATTAGGGTTTAGGGTTTAGGGTTTAGGGTTTAGGGTTTAGGGTTTAGGGTTTGGGCGCAGGTCCCACTCCATCTTTACCCTTGCAGTTGAAAGCGAAGACGCTGAAGGCAGCGTTAGAGTTGGCAAATTGAATTTGGTGGACTTGGCGGGCTCTGAGAGGCAACCCTAAACCCTAAACCCTAAACCCTAAACCCTAAACCCTAAACCCTAAACCCTCGACCCTAAACCCTAGAGGCTAAACGCTGGGGCGGCGGCGTGGGGTGAGGCCCTGAGCCAGAATGCCTAGGCGCTGCTGCGCAGGCGGCGCAGAGGGGGGCGGAGGGCGGTAAACCCTAAACCCTAATTTAGGGTTTGCGGGGCTGCAGGCAAAGCAAGGCGGGGTCCGTTGGAGAGAGGTTTAAAGAAGCAACAAAAATTAATTTGTCTCTTAGTGCTCTCGGAAATGTAATTTCTTCTTTGGCAGAAGAAGCTCCTTTTGTCCCCTACAGAGACTCCAAACTCACCCGCATCCTCCAGGCAAACCCTAAACCCTAAACCCTAAACCCTAAACCCTAAACCCTAGACCCTAGACCCTAACATGTAAACCCTGAAACTAAACGCCAGGCCTTACTCGCTGGGTGATAAGCCGTAGGGCTGGTAGACGAGGACTGGAGAAGTGCTGGCGCAGCTGCTCCTCCGCTTCAGGGTTTAGGGTTTAGGGTTTAGGGTTTAGGGTTTGGGGTTTAGAAGTCGGTTGTTTTCGCTCCCAGAGCGCGCGTTTCCTGGCGCGAGCGCGGAGCGGTGTGCGAGGGTTTAGGGTTTAGGGTTTAGGGTTTAGGGTTTGGGCGCAGGCGTCTCTGGGAGGCAACACAAGAACAGCAATGGTTGCTGCAGTTGTTGCTGCTGCAGCGCAGCAGGAAGAAACCCTCAGCACTTTGAGGTTTGGCAGCAGAGTAAAGAAAGTGGAAAATAAACCCCGAAGAAATAAAGGGTTTTGCGAAGCAGCAATTACGCTGCTGCAGCGCCAA